AGCCGCAGTAGAAGCAAAGCCCCAAAAGAGTCGAAGTGGCTTGGGCCCAGAGCTGGGGCGGCAGCCACACCCACAGCAAAGCGCAGGGTTCAGATTTGCTGCTTCTCCAAGTGCAGCAAAGCAGCCCCTGGGTGCAGCAAGGCAACCAGGGGCTGCTCTGCTGCACTTGCAGAAGCAGCAACTCTAAACCCTGCGCTTTGTTGCACTTGCAGAAGCAGCAAATCTAACCCCTGCGTTTTGCCGCACTTGGAGAAGCACCGGATCTAAACCCTGCGCTTTGCTGCACTTGCAGCAGCAGATCTAAACCCTGCGTTTTGCTGCACCTGCAGCAGCAACAAACTTAAACCTAAGAACTACGAAGGCTCCCAATGCCAGCTCACCTGCACTGCGCGGGTGCAGCCCTCTGAGAAACCCAAAAGAGGCCGCAAAATCAACGCGGGGAAAACGCGGCCGGCGATTTGGAGGGCTTCGGGCCCCAAGCAGTTTGGAGTGTACAGACGCAGGCACACGTCTCGCGCAGAGGAAAAGCCGCGAGACACGCACCGACACGCGTCCCCTAGCCCTGCAACCACGCCCTCGGGCTGCAGCAGCAGCAGCAACAGCAGCAGCAGCAGCAGCAGGTACAGCTGCAGCACTGGGGAAAGGCGCGGCGCAACAGCTAAAGCGAAAAGTCGCAGTTGACGCAGCCGCAGGAGCAGCCTGTCCTAAGGGGGGATCAAACGAGAAGGCACTGAGGTGAGAATTGGGGAAAAGAAGAAGCAAAAAGGCAGCAGCAGAAACAAAAAAGCTGCAAAGACAAACCTCATAGAGCCCCTCCGCGCCCAGCTGCACGACTGCCCATTCGTTGCTGCTCTCAGCAGCCCCAGGACCTCCCCAGCTGCTTCGGGCGCCCCCATCCGCCGAAGAGGCCTCATCTGCGCAGCAGCAGCAGCAGCAGCTCGACACAAGCAGCAGCACTTGGGAAGCAGCAGCAGCAGCACCTCGCCACAAGTAGCACCGCTTGGGAAGCAGAAGCAGCAGCACTTGCGAAGCCACAGCAGCAGCTTCTGCTGCTGTGGGCCCCACAACACGTAGTGCCGGGGCTGCTGCCCCCTCTTAGGCTTAGGCTTTTGGGCTTCGGGTTTCCATACAAGATGCATGAGAGGTTTGCAGCCCGAGTCTAAGCCTGCGGCTGCCGTGGGAGCTGGCTTGCTGCCTTCTATTTGTGGCAGTCCTCGTGTGCTGCTGCAGCAGCAGCAGCACGTCGCTCCCTGTACGGGTGCGGAATGTTGCAGACGGGTAGGGCGGGCAGCTGCCAGGAGTGTAGGCGCGGTCGAGCAAGTACAGCAGCGAATGAAGGCCTCTCAGGGCTCTTTCCGAAAGGCACCTGCAGCAGCAGCAGCAGTAGCAGCAGCAGCAGCAGCATCACTGAGAGAACCAAAATCAAGACCCTGAGGTTGAAGCCGTCCAAGCACGGCTCACAGCTAGCAGAAAAGCAGCAGCAGCACGAGATGACTGCAACACAGGCACTGTAGCGAGAACAGGGACCCCAGCAGCAGCACAGGCAACAGCAGCATCAACAGCAGCAGCGCTGGAAGGCCCACAGCAGGCTGCCAGAGCCACCGAGCCACAGCGCGACCCACAGTCCCTCGAAGCCTGCACTGGCTGCAGCAGCAGCGACATTCTTAGCCAGCAGCAGCGCCAACCCCGGAGCATCTACTGACGCCAGCAGCTGCTGCAGCGCAGCAGCAGCTCGCTGCGCTGGGGGCATCCCTAGGGGGCCCCCACGCGGCCTCCTAGCCCAGCCGCGGCGGCGCCGGAACACCCGCAGCAGCCAACTGCGGATTGTGCGGCCGCCCCTCAGCAGGCCATTTAGAGGCGCAACGCTGTTGATGCATCGCATCATTGCAGCCCTGCAACAGCAGCAGAAGCAGCAGCAGCAGCAGCAGCAGCACAAATAGCACAGATAGCAATGAGCAAGGCCACAGCCTACGCAGCTACAGAGAACAAAATTGAACTTCCAGAAGCAGCGCCCGCTATGGTGCAGCCATCCGAGCCCTACTAATCCTGCTGCTGCTGCTGATGCTGTTGGTGCTGCTGCTCTGTGCTGCTGCTGTTGCTGCTGCTACTGAACGTCTTTCCCGTGCCTCTGAAGCTAACCCGTGTGCACCAGCTCCTAGGCCTACTGCTGCTGTTGCTTTGACTGCTGCTACTACTCCCTCTGCTGCTGCGGCTTTGACTGCTGTTACGACTCCCGCTGCTGCTGCTGCCCCCACCGCCGCAGCAGGATTTACCTGCTGACACTCGCCACCCAGTGGGCGGCGATTTTGTTAAAGAGACGTTCAACAGAAGAAATGTCGCACAACACCTGAGAAGGCACTGCCACCTCAATACCCTCAAACCTGAAGCACAACGCAAAACTTCATCTTCAAATCTTACGGCAAAACTTCATCTTTAAATCTTATTTCCTAAACTTTTATTTTTCCTTTAAACCCCAATAAGCAGGCCCTATGCATGGAAAGTAGCTCGTGGATTTTTGTGAATAACAAAGTTTGCGTTCCTCATTGCATGAACATTCATGTTTGTGGGAACATTGGGCAAAGATAACTAGACATGCAGATGGAGTTGTGTCGTGTCTAGTGTTGCTTCTTACCTGCAGCACGAAGCAAAGAGGTTGAGCAGCTCCCGCAGGTCTCCCCGACAAATTCCGCTGGGGTTTGGAGGCCTTGCGGCGAAGTCGATCTTGATCAGAAGAGCTGACAGCCGAAAAGACCGAATGAAAACGTCACTAGGGGCCCCCGGGGGCCCCCCCACGCAGAGGGCCCGTCCCCCCTCCACGCCAGCCACAGTTGCACAGGAGGCGCTGCGAAGGGTACTTAACAGGGCAAACGACGGCGTCCGCTGCATGCGGCGGGGGGACTCGCTGCAGCAGCAGCTCCCGCCGCTGCTGCAGCTGCTGCAGAGGCCTCCCTGGCGATGATGCCGTTGCGTTGAGGAGCCCCAAGAAGGCCCCATTGTTGGGCCCCGGGGGGGCCCCCTTGGTGACACTAGGACCTCGAAAGGGTTCACTGCTGCTGCCGGGGGGCCCCAGTCGAAGTTGGAGTGATCAACTCTCCTGCGCATCTGCGTCCTCTGCTGCTGCTGCTGCACCTGCTGCTGCTGCCTGTGCGGGTGCGCGCGCTGGTGCTGGTGCTGGTGCTGGCGGCCGTGGTGGCGATGGTACAGCCTGTCCATGTCCGGCCGTGAGAAAGAATAAGAAGTGGAGGGCGAGGCCCCACTACTGCGGCTGCGCGCCCGCTCCCTGGGGGCCCCCGCAGAAGGGGTACCCCTCCTGCTGCAGCTCCAGGGAGGGGGCCCCTCATCAGGCAGCAGGCGCGAAGGGGGGAGTTCTACAGCCCCGGCCATCAGCAGCTGCTCGCTGAAAGCTGCGACGGCGTCGACAGTGCACTGGTGCAGCGACAGGGCAAAAGGCAACACTTTCATGTCCACGTCGTACTCCACCTGCGGCTGCTCTTGCTGCTGCTGCTGCAGTTGCGGAATCAGCAGCTGGTGCTGCTGCGGAAGATAGTACTCCGTGGCCAGGCAAGTCACCATAGGCAAAGTGGTGGGCCGCGGGCGGACAATCTCATCTTCGTGATACCTTAGCAGCAGCCCAAATGAAGATCCTTCAACAAGATCTTCCACGTTCAAGTCCCTCACAGTGACGCCGAAGAACCGGCTCACTCCACCCCTGCTGCTTCTGCAGCTGCTGCTGCTGTCGCTGCTGCTGCAGGCTACGATCAAGCTGGTGTTGCTCAAGCAAAGGCGCAGCAAATCTGCTCTGAGTCCCAGAGTCGAGGGACTTCCGTTCGAAAAGTGCGGGTCCTGTGACAAAGTAATGCGCGCCTCCGCAACTTCGACCTCCAAGAGGGGCCCCCAGGGGGCCTCGCGCACAGTGCCTGTCTCGGGCTCCTCCACGAGGGCCCTCTGCCTCAGCTGGGGTCCCCAAGGTCCTTTCTGAGCATCCAGTGGAGGCCCCACAGGCAGGCTGCTGGTGCGCTCGCTGGGGGCCTTCCGTTTGCCGGCTGGGAGGCCCCCAAGGGGGCCCCCAACGGGGCTGTCGAAGGGCAAGGCGTCCACGGGAGGCTTGAAGTGGTCCTCTGCTGTGACAGAAACCGTCACAGGCCATCTGCTTCTGCTGCTGCTGCTGCTGCTGCTGCTGTCTGCAGCATCCCTGTCTTCGCCGCTTTCTCCCACTCGAGGCGAAGCTGCTGCTGCTGGGCTTCCACCCTCTGGACGGTAGAGCTCTATGACGAGGGCCCTGGCTGCCTCATCCGCCTCCTTCAGTTCCTGAATTGCTGCTGCTGCGCACCCCCTGGGGCCCCTCCTGCGGCCCGCTCGAGGGGCCCCTGGAGCTGTGGGTTTCCCTTCTGCTGCCTCCCAAGAGGACTCGGAGCTGTCGCTGTCGTCGTCTTGCGCTGCTGCTACTGCTGCTGCAGCTGCTTCCCCCGCTGCTGCTGCCGATACGAGAGCCTCCTTCAAGCCTGCTGCAGTGTGCGCCGATGCTTCTGCTGCTTCTGCTGCAGCGCTCGCAGCTGCTGCCTTCCCGCACTGCCCGGTGACCATTGGTCCGGGCGAGCCAGCGGCATCTCCAGCCGCAGGGAAACTGGGGGCAGCAGCCACGTAATCTCTAATGAGCGCGACGTTGGAGCTTCTCGGCAGGCCTGCTGGAGCAGGAGAGGCTACCACTGCTGCTGCTGCTGCTGCTGCTGCTCCCGTTGCTGCGACAGAAGAAGAGGTCCCTGCAAAGGCAGGGAGGGCCACTGCTGGGTACAGCCCCATCGAGTCTTCATGAAAACTTGCTCGGGGCCTCCCAATGGGGGGGGCCCTTTCCTCTCCGTCTGTAAGGAAGGCCCCCAAATCGACCCCTGCGAGGAGGTTGACCTCTTGTGGGGCCCCCCGGGGCTTGGCATGGAGGGCCGGTTGCAGGGGGCCCCCCAAGCCGCCCTCTGGCCGCTCCTCACGGGACTCTTGAGAGCCCTTCTGGTGGTCTGCAGAGGCCTCAGCGCCTAAGTCAGTGGCAGGGGCCTCTTGGTGGGGCCCCTGGGGGGCCCCTAGTCCTGTAGCTGCAAGAAACTGGGAGCAGGAACGCATAAACGCTGCTGCTGCAGGGGGCGGCTCCGGCAGAGACAGCAAGTACTGCAAGTCCGCGGAAACAAACAAGAAGCAGCGCAGGCTGTCTGGACAGAGTACACCGTCCACTGCCCCGCACCGCAGGTGCCCCCGAGAAGCCCCAGAGGGGCCCCCGGGGGGCCCACGGGGGCCCCCTAGGGAGAGGGGCGCCTCAACGGGGCCCCCCGGAGAGCGCTGGGCGCAAGGGCTCGCTGGCAGAAGGACTGAACACGCTAAGTCATCAGCCACCAGCAGCCGCGCTAAGCCGCAGAGAGGCAACAGGGGAGCAGCTGCGTCTGCCCTGAAGACAAGAGCTGGCACGGGCTCTCTGTGGCTTGCTGCTGCTGCTGCTGCTGCTGCTGGCGCTGCCGGCGCCGCTGCTGCTGCTGCTGCTGCTGCTCTCGCCTTGTCGCTTGAGCTGCCAATGAGCCTATTGTCTCTTCTAAAGCAGCTCTTGGAACAGCTGCAGCTGTGAGAGGCGTTTGAGGGGTCCCTGGGCCCCCCATAAACACCAAAAGGCCTATTTATCAGCGGAGAGGGCAGTGGCACCAGCGACAGCTGCTGCAGCGACACTCCAGCCTCCACTGCTAAACTGCACAAGCGAGTCCCCTCATCTAGCAGATACAGCTCTAGAGAGCTGCAGTGAAGCCCCAGAAGCAAGCCTGCTGCTGCTGTTGCTGCTGCTGCTGCTGCACCTGACGTCGCCGTGTCCGTTTCGGCGGCAGTGGCTCCCCGCTTGGAAGCTGGCTCTTTCCCCTTCTGCGGCTGCTGCTGCTGTTGCTCTTGCAGCTGCTGCTGCCGCAATTCAACTTTAAGAGCATCTACGTGCATCACAGCCAGCCACCCCGACCCCTCCAAGTTGAGAGGCGTCTCCGCCCCGCAGCCTGGGGGCGCCGCTGCAGACCCATCAGAGGCCCCTTCCCACTCAGGGGGGCTTCCGTGGAGAGCTGCTGCTGCTGCGACTGGGGCAGCAGCTGTGCTTGCTGCTGCTGCTGCTGCTCGTGGAGGGCCTACTGGACCTTGAAGAGCTTCTGAAGGGCGTGGGAAGAGCAGCAAACTCTGGTACACGCTGGCCTTGAGACGGAGGGCCTCGAATGACACTGTCAGTTCTCTATCTTCCCGCAGCTGTTGTAGCTGCTGCTGCTGCTGCTGCTGCTGCTGTTGCTCGCGGGCCGGAGCAGCCACAGCACACCGCTCAAGAACAGAAAGTGCCGCCGCTGCACCTTGTAGCGCCAGTGAACTGCAGACAGCCACGAGGCACTCCATGTTCGCCTTTGCCGTTTCCACAGAGACACAAGCCCTCCTGCAGCCGCCGCTGCCGCTGCTGTTGCTGCTGCCGCCGCCGCGTCTGCCCATTGCCTTGAGGACACACGCTTCGGCCAGTACTGAAAGGACACAGTCTCGTTCTTGAACTGGAACGCCTTGTGGAGCTCCATCAGTCGTCGCAGCTGAGGGCCCTTGACGCACTGTTGCAGCAGCAGCTGCTGCTGCTGTAGCCGCTGCTGCTGCCACGCCACGCGGGGAACTGCAGCCGTGGTATAGAGAAGCCCTCCATGTGTAAAGGACAGGCTCGGAGCAGCAGAAGGCAGCTAAACTGCCTAGGGAGAGAGACCCCAGCAGACGGTTGCTTACATCTGCTGCTGATGCTGCTCCAGCTGCTGCTTCTGCTGTGGCGGGCAAACGCGGAAGGCACGACAAGGAACAAATAAGCCTTCCTAACTCGATGTAAACCCCAGAGCTGCAAGTGGGGCACCGGGCTACCGGCATTGCTGCTGTTGCTCCTGCTGCTGCTGCTGCTGCATTTCCCGAAGCAAAGCCTTCTGATGAAACAGCTCCTCCGTAAGAGCCTGCCAGTTCGCCGCTGTTGCTAATATTTCTGCTGCTGCTGCCGCAGTCGGAATATAAACAGCAATCTAGGGAAAGGGCCCCGAGCGACACGTTGATACTGCTGCCGGGCGTGCACAGCAATCGCCTCCACAACGGCTCTCTCTGCTGCTGCTGCAGTTGCTGCTGCTGCAGTTGCTGCTGCTGCAGTTGCTGTTGCTGCTGCTCTGCATCAACTAGCATTTCCGTGTCTCTCCTAAGGGCCTCAATAGTCGACGAGATACTGCGCAGGAAGGCCCCCAAGGGGGCCACTGCGTCGGAGTCCAGAGACGCCTCAACAAAAGGCACGTGCAGCGACAGCACTTCACATGCATGTTGCGGCAGCAGCAGCTGCTGCTGCTGCGCGCAGCGCAGCTCGCGCTGCTGCTCTGCAGCTCCCGCCCACCACCTCGCTTCGCTGTCTGTGGCTTCAGCAGGAGCCGTGGCAGCAAGCACGGGCTCAGAAGGGCTTGAGACCGCTCGACTTACCGTAGCAGCTGGCGGCGCGCGTGCTGCTGCTCCTGATGCTGCTTCTGCTGCTGCATCTGCTGCTGCAGGAGTTTTGTACGCGACTAGGTCAAGGCATTCGTACGAGACCGACGGGGCTGGAGTTGTCAGCATCGCCAGAAGCGGCACAAAGCGGGCCTTCGGGCCAGCCGGAGCTGCACCCAGAAGTTCGCCCGCAGCACTTGTTGCTAATTGGGCCCTACAGGGGGCCCCCTCGGCCAAGGGGCCCCCAAGAGATGCCCGTGAGTGGTCCCTCGCAGAGTCGCTGGGCACACAGGTAGCAAACAGAAGCCTGTGCACCCACGGCTGCTTCCGGAACCGTAGCAGCTGCTGCTGCTCACTTTCTTTGTAAAGCAAGAAGCAGCACACGTGCTGCTCCAGGAACAGGGACGCTTGGCAAGGCCGAAGCAACTCTACATCTCCCGCGGCGCTGCTGCTGGTGAGACTGCTGCTGCTGCGGTCGTTCCTGTCGCTTCTGCTGCTGCTCAAGAGCCTGCGTCCTGGGCAGTAGGAGGCTTTCACGGAGCAAACATCTACGACAAGGCAGGTACTGCTGCAGCTGCTTCTGTCGTCGCTGCTGTCGCTGTTGCTGCTGTTGTTGCTGTTGCCCCAGCAAGTGTTGATGCCGCAGTCCTTTTCACGCATTCCAAAAGCTTTGCCGGCCTCCATAGTCTGTTTCTTCGCTGGAGCTGCTGTTGCTGCCAATGCTGCAGGCCCTGCTGCTGCTGCTGCCTCTGCTTCTCCTCCTGCTAAAGGCCGTGTTCTTGCTTCAGTGTTGTCAACAGCCCCGATGTGGAGACGCAAACAGGATAATGACATTCCCCAAAATACAGGCAGCTTCTCCGCAAGACAGGGCGGTTCTGCTTGCCCCGCTGCTGCTGCTGCTGCTGCTGTGCAGTCCGAACGTTGTGCTGCAGCAGCAGCATCGGCCGCTGCAGCACCGTGCGCCGGTAACAGAGCAGTGGAAGCCTTGTAACAGACCTTTGAAGCAAACAAGCGCAGCAGTGAAGCAAAAGCAAAACACAATGCACCCAAAAGCACAGCGGTAGGATGTGGGGTATGCCCCCAGCAGCAGGAGCTCTAGCGAGGAATCCGGAAGCAGCAACAAAGTGGGTGCAAACACCAGCAGCAGGAGCAGCAGCACTGACAGCAGCAGCAGCAGCCAGTACCTGTAAGATCTCCCCTAGAGCGTCAAGGGGAAGCTGACCAATGACGGCCTCGATGCTTAAATCTGTCCACAAAGCAGCTGCTGCAGCAGCTGCTGCAGCAGCCGCTCCAGCAGCAACAGACGCAGCTGGTGCGGAGTCTGCCTGAACCGCCTGACTTACAGAAAACGCACTGGCCGGATTAATAGCTTCAGCTGCTTCTGCTCCTGCTGAAAGGGGAGAAACGCTGTGGAGCCCTGAAGCGACGCTGGCAGCCCCAATGATGTCTGTACACTGCAGCACCGCTGGAGGCATCTGCAGCAAAGGGTGAAAGAAGTAGCAGGTCCGTAGTGTGACCAATGGTCTACTTGCCGCTCTCTCGACATCCCAAAATGGCTCCTCTCTGAAGGCTTTGGATACCGGAAGCCCAATCTCAGCTTCGCTCTTACAGCTCGAGAGAACACATCCATAGTCCCCAGCTGCTGCTGCTGCTGCTGCTGCTGCTTTCGGCGGCGTACGATTGAACGGAATGGGCGCGCAAACCGGAGCCACGAGAGCGCTGTCTGGCACTGATCGTTCCAACCCCTCTGGTACTCTCATGACCCACAAACCCAAGCTGCTGCTGCTGCTGCTGCTGCTATATCTTCTATGTGTGGGAGAGTGGTATTCTGCACACGGAAAGACACCAGAGAGACTCATGCCTGCCTCGGACTCCGGCCACTCCCTCCAGCCTCCTGCTTCTCCTTTGCTGCTGCTGCAGCATTGCTCATGTGAGGCCCTAAGGCCTGGAGAAGGGGCCCCTGGGCGTCTGCAGCAACAAGGGCTGTTCCTGCTGCAGTCACTGCGGCTGCGGCAGCTGCTGCCACAGCTGCTGTTGCTGCGAGAGATGAATGGGTGGTGCCTCCTGAGCTCGCAGGTCCGACGCCCCTGCCTATGCAAATGGCTCTCCACTGCTGCTGCTGCTGCTTCCGCTTCCACTGCAGCATCGCCCTGTTTCGTGCTTGCCAGCGCCTCTCTTCTGGCCCCAAAGAGCAGCACGTGGGCTTTGTACTCATCCAGGGCCCCACAAAGTGCGCCCCCAGTTGTTGCAGCTTGAAGGACCTCCGTAAGCTCTTCAAGAGTTAGCGATTTCATCTGCTGCATATCACGGAGGCCGCTGCCGCCGCTGCTGCTGCTGCCGTCCTTGAGGGACACGGAAGACACGCTGCTGCTGCTGTAGTTTGACGAAACAGCAGTGAACAATGGGGCCTTGGTCTCTCGAGTCTGAGTGAAGCAACTAAAAAGAGAAGAAGTGTCGCCTACAAGTCTCACAGCTGCTGCTACTGCTGCTGCTGTTGCTGTTACTGCTCGGGGTGCTCCTGGTAGCCCCTGTTCGCTCGTTGCACCTTCTTCGGCTGCTCCTAGTGATGCTGCTGGCGCAGCAGCAGCAGCTGCCTGCTGATGCTGCTGGGGAACAGCTTGCAGCGGGTCGTCGAGCACTTCTCCCCCCAACAAACCACTCCATAGAGCTTCCTCACTATCTCTATCACTGGCGGAGCCCCGCGACAACGCGAAGCCCACAGAAGCGCCAGCAGGAGCTGCAGCTGCTGCTGGCAACTCTGCTGCTGCTGCTGCAGGCTTGCCCTGTTTAGACTTTGCGAAATCTCTGCCGGCCTTCTTCCGCCCTGCTGCTGCTGCCTTGGCTGCTGCTCCTGGTTTCGTTGCTGCTGTTGCTTCTGATGCAGCCACTTCCGGAGTGCCGGCCTCTGGCGTCCTGCTGCACTGGGGAGAGACGAACGTGCTGATGCTACGCCTTCCTCCAGGCTGCTGCAGCGTTGCCCCTTGCTTCTTCCCAACAGATGAGGTAGCGGCAGTAAGTGCTGCTGATGCTGCTGCTGCCACCGAGGCTGCAGCGGCAGCGTCCGAGTCGAGTTCCTTATGCTTTAGGCCTTTCCCTTTGGTGCTGCTGACTCCCTCTGCTGCTTTTGCTGCTCTTGCTGCTGCCGCCGCTCTGGCTGCTGCTGCGGCTGAAGATCGCCCTCGGCGCCCTCTCACAACAGCATATGAGATGCCGCTTGAGACGGGTGTATTCACCTTTTCGCTGTCTGCTGCTGCTCCCGAAGCACCTTGCTTTGTGGCTGTCGCTGCTTTCACTGCTGCTGCTGCTGGCGATGAAAAACGAGCGGCGCCCGCAGCAGGGCTCTTTGCGGCTTCTTCTCCGTCTTCAACTTTCCTGCCATTTGATGTTTCAGGCTTGCTGCTGCTGTCTTCACGGCTACTGCTCCCCTCGCTGCTGCTGCCCTCACTGTTCCTGCTGCTGCTCTGGAGGCTGCTGCTTTTGCTGCTGCTGCACTTGCAGCTGCTAATGCCGCTGCTGCTGCTGCTGCTGCTCTGTGTTTGGCAGCTGCTGTTGCTGCTGCTGCTGCTATTGCTGCTAGTGTCAACAGCCTGCTCCGTTCCTGCTAGCCCTTCTGATGCTGCTGCCACTGGCACTTTCGAGTGGGGTGATTTGACACGCGCGCTCTGGCATGTAGCCATTCTGCTGTTGCAGCTGCCTTCTGCTGCTGCAGCAACACTGCCCTTCAAATCTGCGAGCTCGTCCTTCCTAAGGGGCCCTTTAGAGCCTTCAGGGCCCTCGCCTCTTTGGAGGCAATCCGCATCCAAGCCACTTGTCTCAGCGCTTCCACTGCTCTGTTTGCTAGCGCTGCTGAGTCTGCTGCTGCATTTGCTGCGGCTGCAGCTGCTGCTGCAGTTGCTGCTGCAGTTGCTGCTGCAGTTGCTGCTGCAGTTGCTGCTGCAGTTGCTGCTGCAGTTGCTGCTGCAGTTGCTGCTGCAGTTGCTGCTGGACTTGCTGCTGGACTTGCTGGTGCGGCTGCTGCTGGAGCTCGGCAAAGCAGAAGGAACAGGCAGGGACTCGAGAGAAACAACATCCTCAGTGTCCCTGGCTGCTTCGGCGTCTTCTGAGGCGTTCCCTGCAGCGTTTGCTGCGGCGCCCGCTGCTGCTGCTGCTGCTGCTGCATCAGCAACGAGCACTTCGTGTCTCTCAGGAGCCGTGGTCTGCCCATTCAGTTTGTCTAAGCAGCTCCAAACTCTTGTCAGAAGACCCCCGGGGGCTTCTGGCGAAGCAGCTCTGGCCCTAGGCCGTTTTGCCTCAAAAAACTGAAGAGCCCACTGGCCGATAGAGACGACGCTTTGTATAACGCAGACAGGGAGGGCCTGCTCTCGGTGCTGCCGCTGCTGCTGCATCTGCTGCTGCTGTTGTTGCTGGCTCAGCAAATTGTGCGGAGGAATGCCCCCTGCAATGCCAGCATGAGAGCCTGCTCTAGGCGCGGCTGCAGCTGCTGCAGCGCACGCAGCAGCCGGCGGTGCCTTGGGCATCAGGAGCACCGTATCAGGAAATGCGCAGCCAGCAGACGCAGGTCCACAGCCGCCGCTGCTGCTGCTGCTGCTGCAGTTCGGCGAGAAGACGGAAACGGAGAAATCTGAGACACTGAGAGACATGATGTGCGTAGACGGCAAAGGGGTATACAAGAGGCAATAGGGGGCGCCCTTGAGGAAAGCTCTCACCAAGCTGGGGGAAACAGCTGCTGCTCCTTTCGCTGCTGCTGCCGCCGCAGGACACCCAGCGCCCACGAACTCCCCAGCAGCAGCAGGCCGCGTGACCTGCTGCTGTGCAGCACCTCCCCACGTGGGCCCCTCTCCTAGGTCTTCTGCAGATGACCTGCGGGGCCCCCAATCGAGGGAATTCCGTCTTGTGGCTGGAGGGCCCCTGTGCGGCCCCCAGGGCAGCCCGCAGTCTGGCAGCAGCAGCGGACAAAAGTCGCTGCTGGCTACAAAGTGGAGAGCAAGGGACTCAACTGATATGCTCACTGCATAGGAAGCACGAGGAGCGACAGCAGCAGCAGCTGCTGCTGCAGGCGTCGCTGTTGCTGACGATGATACTGCTGCTCCAGCCGCAGCTACTGCAGCAGGGCTGCATGCTGCTGCTCTGCTGCTTTCTGAAGCAGCTGCATAGGCAGCATGAGGGTCCTCACTGTGAGCGCCACAAGCAGCAGCAGCAGCCACAGCCTTGCTGCATGCCTGCAATGCCTCTCCCATTTGCGCCTGCTGCTGCTGCCGGTGCGCTTGAGGCCGTAGGCGACCGTGAAGGGATTTACTTGATCCTCTCTGTCTCAGTTGCTGCTGCGCCTCCACTGCTGCAGCCGTTGCGGCCTTATCCAGACGCGAGCCATGATGCTGCTGCTGCGGGGTCAGTTCGGTCGTTTGCTGCTGCAGTAGCCCCTGCTGCCCCTCCTTCGCTTGCCCGCCTTGCTGAAGCAGATGCTGGTGCTTCTGCTGCTGCACGTCTTGGCTATTTTTCTGCAGTTCCCGCTGAAGTCCGTGCTGTTGCCGCTGGTGCTGCTGCAGCCGCTCCCGTTGCTGCTGCTGCTCGAACTGGGGAAAAGGCAGCACCTCTCCCCCCAAAGACACCCCCGTCTCCTCAGCATCCAGGAGGCCCCCAAAAGTCTCCAAGGCTGCAGCTGCCGCCTCACGAGAAGCCGCCGGAGCCCCCGGCTGGCAGAAGGCCACAGCGCGCCGCCACCAGGGGGCCCCGTGGAGCGGCTTGCCACGAGCTGGGGGGGTCCCCCCAAGTTCTGGAGTCTCTGGGGGCCCCAAGGGTACCATAGAGTGCCAGCTGTCTCTGTCTTCGTCCCCCTCATCAGCGGATATGACATTGCCTGTAAGCTCATCAAGCAGCCCTTGCTGGCTCGAACTGCTGCAGCAAGGGGTGCTGCTCCAGCCAGAAGCAGGCGAGCTAGCGTTGTCGCCGCTGTTGCTGCTCCGCACTGCTGTTTCGTTGGCTGTTTTTGCGTCGTTCGCTGCTGCTGCTGCTGCTGCTGTTGCTGCTCCAAACGCAGAAAGGCCCCCTTTAAGCTCCCTTGGGCTTTCCAGCTGGTTCCTGCGGCCGTTTCTTCTGCTGCTCGCTCCGTCGCTGCTGCTGCCACCGCGGCTGCTGCCGCTTCGACTCCTAACTTTGGAACACCCAGGACCTCCGGGGGCCCCCTCATACAGGCCAATGGCCTCGCCTATGAGTCTCAGGATCCTGAGGTGCTCCGTCCCCACCAGGACTAGCACTAGCGGCACAGAGAGACAGACGCCGTAGTCAAAAACAGCTTGTGCTGCTAGACTGCTGCTGCTGCTGATGCTATTGCAAGGACACCCACGGAAGCAACTGTCGCAGCTGCACCTTCCTGGGGTCCATCCGCCCGCTGCTGCTGCCGCAGCTGCTGCCGCCGCGGCTGCAAAGGGCGCGCTGGCGTGAACAGCAAGGGCAGCAGCAGAAGCAGCACCCGCAGCGGCTGCAGGATCATCAACTTGCTGCTGCCGGGCTAAGAGCGAGAGGCAGTCCTCAGTGTGAGCCTCCGACTGCATAGCGGTGACTGCACTCAGCGGCGCCTGAACTGCGACTCTGCCAATGATGACAGGGTCATCGTTGACCCCCCCATCATCCCCTGCTGCTGATGCTGCTGCTGCTTCTGCTGTTGCTGCTGCAGCAGCAGCGGGGAGTGCTGCAAGCTCTGCTACTGCTGCTCCGTGTGCCGGGGCCACAACAAAGCCTTTCATGGGCCCACTGGTGGCGCTGACAGGCGCAGGCCAGCCACTGTGAACGTTAGGGGCCTTAGTGCTGAGCAGCAGCAGTCCAGCAGCACCGAGCCAACTGTTGCTGGCCCTCGAAGTGAAAGCCTCCAGGGGAAGCGAAGGCAGCAGAGAGACTTGGCAGCTGCCCAGCTGCAGCTGCGCGCAGCCCGCATAAGAGTCGCAGCCTCGCACTTCTTCAAGGTGCAGCCGTACAGCCCAGAGAGACCGCGGGATGCCATCATGGCCGGGGGCCCCTCTCAGAGGGGCCCCTCGACAGGGGGCCCCTTCAAAGGAGCCCTCTCGAGATTCCCCCTTCAGACGCCGCCGGCGGCTTTCTCGGCGGTCCTCTCCTGCAGCAAAGCTGCGAGAACGCAGAGGGTCCCTTTGAAAGCCCTCGCAGGCTTCACGCCCTCCCTCTGTGTCTGCCTCTCCCCCGCCCCAGCCTGGGGCCCCCACGGCCGCCTTGGCCTTGCCAGCCCAACTTGTGGGCAATTCAAAAGCCCCCGAGGTCTCTGGTGCACAAGGGCTGCCCCTCCACCCCTTCTCAAGGGGCTGTTCAGCCGTATCGTCTTGATAAATGCAAATGACTGCCATCTCTATGGACAAGTCAATGGCCCCTGCTGCGCTCTGCAAAGCCCTCCGAAGTAAAGCAAGCAGAGAGTCCACGCTGTACAAGGCGCTGTCCGACGCAGGCAGGGGACCCCCGCACCCTCCTGGAGCCCCCAAGGGGGCTCCTGCAGGGGCCCCCCACTCGGAGCCCCTGGAGGCCCCCAGGCAGACCTCAGGAGGCCCCACTGATCCCACAGAGAAAGGGCCTCCAATCAAATTACTTCGCTCATTCTGCTGCGCATGCTGCGTGCCCTGCACACATGTGCTGCCACCCACAGGCTCTCTGCCTGCTGCTGCCGCTGTCGCCGTTGCTGCTACTGCTGCTTGTGCTGCTGCCGCCTCAGCAGCAGCCGATAAGCCACCACTCAAGGACCCCAGGCGCAAGTTCTCTTCTGACGTTTGGGCATCTCCTTGCACTCCCCCTGTGTTGCCGGGCTCCGTTGTGGAGTGTCCCTGGGAGTGTTGGGGATTTCGTTGGTGCAGGTACTTTGCTGCTGCCGGGGCTTCTGCATCCGCTGCAGTGGCTGCTGCAGCAGCTGCAGTAGCTGCAGCTTGTTGGACTGAAGTATAAGGCGGGGCATACGGGAGGCAGTGGCTTGCCAGAGACTGTGGGGGCCCTCGAAAGCGCAGAGCGATGGCTGGCCTGAAGATTTTGAGGGTGAGGGGCAACTTGAGACTGATGCACTCTACGTGGCAGCTAACCACCGCCAAGAAGCCCCAGCCTGCAGCTTGAAGAGCCTCATTAAGAGGACCCGTCTCTATGTCTACAGATAGGAGACATACTTCGCCCCCTCGCACCGCCACATCCAGCTGCTGCTTACTCAGGTGCTTCAACAGAGACCCCAGCACCACCCGCCGCAGTGAAGCAGCTGCAGCATCGCGTAGAGTACGCTGCAGCAGCTTCAGGAGCCTGCCCCACAGCGACGGCTCGCTCATCTCAAATGCCTGCGAGAAGCCGCTGGGGGCTCCTAAGGCAGGCTGGAGCACCAGAGGCAACGGGCGTGCCTCTACAGATCATAAGGCAGAAAGTCCGAGCATACAGTCAGAGCCCTGCGAACCATCGTGCTGCTCCTGGTCCCCCTGCTGCTGCTGCTGCCGGTGCCGCCGCTGCTGCTTCTTTTGCTGCTGCTGTTGCTTCTAAGTGGTAAAAAGTTCGTGGTGCTGCGGAGCACAAGCGCCACTGCATGGAAACCTAGTGGCTCCGCGGCCGCGGTGCAGCAGCTGCAGCTGCTGCAGAGAAAATGAGCCCTGCAGAGAAAATGAGCCCTTACTAAGGGCGCCTAAAGAACCAGCCCCGGGCTCCCGTAAGCGTCTGGATGCGGAGGGGTCCTATGGTCGGTCTATGGCGGCTAGTGCTGCCTTGGGAGTCCAGTTGCCTTATCGAAGTGATGTACATCAAAGAGACGGGCAGCTGGGGAAGGGGAAAAAGACAAAGAAAACGGACAGAGAAAGGCGCCACTGCGGTTGAAGTCAATGGAGTGGGTGTGCACGCCCACTTGCTGCCGACGGGACTCGGGAAGGTCCCGAAAAATCCTCAGTGACCTACTAAAACTCGGCTTTGGCCTGAAGAGAGGCAGAGTGAGCTCAAAAAGCAGCCCCCGTGGCCACCTGGCGCCAGTGCTCTGGCCTTTCCTTTGTTGTAGGGGCCCGCAGGGAGGAAAAGCAAATGAGTAACGCCACAAAACAATAATTAATCCTTTAAGATTTCATAAATAGACTCGGTCTGTCGGAAAACGAGGCAAAAACAACGCCAAAGTGTGAAGGTCCCTCACTTGGCTTCTTTGTTTCATCTTCCCACTGCGCCTCTGCTAGCAGCCTGGCGCCCGTAAGATCTCACAAAGTGCTATTCGCCATCTATTTCCTCGTTTCCTTTTTACGTTATCTTTTTTAATTGCCTTTTCTTTTCAAGGTACTAATACCAGATTGTTACAAGCCACAGACATAGAAGCAAACGGCTCCCCCTTCCTCCTGTAGAACGGACCAATGTTGTCAGTGATGGATACATTACAGAAGCCGGCTTACGGACCTCAGCGTGTGCTAGTGTCTGCCATGTGTCTCGGTTTTCCTTGTGTATCCCATTTGGATAAGTAAATTAATCGATAAAAATTAAACACATTTATATGAGGTTAGCAGCCGAGCAGTTGAGCCTCTGCAACCACGGAATACACAGCGTGCCGGGCTGGTGGGAGGGTCACACCGAGCCCGGAAGACTGCATGTGACTCGCCCAGCTGTTCCCCTTTGCTTCCCGTTATTTGTTGTTTAATAATACGTCTATTGACTCTTAAACGAACAACACCTAAAGCGTTCGAGTAAGAAGCAGAGTAGTCCCCTCAACCTAACTGCAGCCCAGGTACCCGGAAGGATCTACAGCCACTTCGATGCAAACGCTCTCTGGGCTGGGGCCCCCTCATGCATGCGGCTGCTCGTCTCTGCCCGTATCTACAGGTAACATAATATTGAAAACAATAATTAAAATCAAGTAGGCAGCAGTATATATCCTGTCATTATTCAGGGGCCAGCAAACAGACCAAGAGAAGAGTAGGGGGCTGAGAGGGTCACCTCAAAGCATCTGCTCTTCTCTGTCAACGCTGTAACTACACAGAATGCAGGACTTATGCATCCGAGTCTAGACTTCCGTTCTGAGGCATGGACTGAGATAAACCGCTCATTGTCCCTAGGTCCGGTCGGCTACTGAGACCGGAGCCCACCGGTATTCGAGCTTGGGCGCTGATGCGTCTGCAACTGGCTGCAGTGGAGCATGGGGTTTCGGCCCCACGCTCCAGCCCCTGCGGCGGCAAAGCGCAGGGGCAGGGACCCCCTAGCCCTTCTCTGTCTTACAAGAAACTACTTAATCAATGCAACGCCGTCCTGGAGGCCCTTACAAAGGAGAATCAAAACATAGATATAATTCAGGCGAGCCTTTCAAAGTGAGACGGTCAAAGTCTAGTCTGCAAGGCTGTCAAAAATAAGTTGCCGGTGCAGGCAGGCAAAGAAATAAGCAAACGTACAGCTGTAATTGTGCGCGTATGGGTACAAGGACGAACACGTAGCGAGTAGGCGTATACTGCATACAGGAACTGTAAGTTTATTCGCACATTCTCAGTACTTAGAAACGAGCAGGTTACCTGAAAGCAGATATCTTAGTCCAGTAACGTGTGTAAGCACATCATTGCAGTGTTATGACCCCGCTCCTACCGTCAGCTGCTCTCTTGTGCTGGAAACGGATTTCGTTTCACGAAGCAGATATAGAGAGAAATGAAATTTACTTTTTCGGGCACATTTCAAGGGCACACGGCAGGGGTGCTGGCGCAATGTATAACTAGCCACAGTTAGCCACAAGCAGCCCGTTAATGCACTAACTGCAGCCTTTCTTCCTAGGCATTGTGACGAGTGAATTTCCTTTAAAAAAGGGGAAGGGAGAAGGAAAAGACACAGAAAGTAACGGAGAGACAAAGGCAGAAGCAAGTAGACAGAAAGCGCCAGAGGTGTCTCAGTCTGGATGCAGGGGCTGTATTTTGCATGCGTGTAGCAGCGACTGTGAATATACGTCAGCACTTTATTCGCCTCTTCTTTCAGCGATAACGGAACAGAAGAATGATATTGTAATGGAGAAATACAAGTAAATGCTTGCCTATGATCTTGGCGTGTCTCAGAGATATCTCTGCAACCTCTGCAGCCTTTGTTTGTCAACTGGCTGACCGAGTTCTCTGCGAACAGCAACTGCTGCAGCCAGTAGTGAACTCTTTCCTGCGGCAGTGCCGCTCGGGTCCTACGCAGGGTCACCAACACATGTACAGCCTGCTTGTATATATGGCCACTTTCCTCTTGCCCGAGATAGGGATCGAAGCTTTTGCTGGATTTGTCCGAGTCAGTGCGGATCTCCCCCGAGGTCTCTGCAAGACTAAACATAGGCTCGAAAGCAGCAATAAGAAGCGAGACAAGCAAATATAGCACACACTGGAGCCGCGATACAGACTGAAATATGGGGAAACACTAAGACACACAGAGAACAACGTAGAGGGTAATAACCCGTGCACGAAGCGCAGAGGCACCACAGGAGCAGGAAGTCTTTTAAAGATATGGAAAGAAGAGATAGCTAAGACATGAAGCAGACTGGAAACAGGCTAAGCAAATACAAGGATAACAGTGCGTGAAATCCCGCACGGAGAAGGAAGCACAAGCGCAGGTAGTCAAAGGATCAAACGGACAAAGTAGCGGACAGACGTGAACTTCCATCAGTGTTGGGTTTGTTCCTTCAGGGATATGGAAATCCCTCAGTGATGTTATCTCTCCTGGATTTTTTGTTTGACGAGGATAGCCTCCGACGCCATGTCCTTCCAGCCTGGCAGCTTTGCTACGATACAGAATACATAGAGTGTACAATTTTTCCAAAGATTAAACGGTCCCAACAGGCATCCTATTCACTTCTGTGCGCCCTCAAGAGGCTGGCAGAAACATCCAAGAAGCGTCAGGGGACCCCAGAGGTCCCGAGGTCTTGGAGAAGCGCGGGGGGCTCCTCCGCATCTAAAAGCCCTAGAGTTAATGGCCCCCAGCAAGGGAAGACGAGCGGCTGCAAGGCAGCATGGGGAAAAAAGAGCCCAAAGGGCAGAGTCGTCCTGTACGTGGACAAAGGGGCCACTGGCGACTGTTCTTCGGCGGCCCCTGAGGGGCCTGCAGGCCCCAGAGGGGCCCTGCGCAGGCGCCACACAACGCCTTTAGCCGGGTCATCTCAGCTGATCCTCGACAAGTGCAAGGAAAACATGAAACAGAGAAAGGCTACTTGTGTCCTCTCCCTCTCGAGGCCCAATCTGGTTTCATCACGCTTCTCAGGGGACGAAAAACCAATTGCAAAACGGAGCGAAGACAAAGTTGGTACTCCTCAGAAGCTCGAGGGTGCAGCGGCAGCAGACGCTGCTCCCGCTGCCCGTGAAGTGCTCATAGCTGCAGAAGCCCCACCTCTCGAGGATAAAGGTCTTTCTTTTCCAGACAACAAGAGCGCAGCGGACATAGCCATGGAAACGGGTGAAGCAAACGAGGCACCGAAAGTGTCAACAGAAGACGAAGTCGAATCGGCGCCAGCTGCCGACTCAAACAAAGAGCAGCAGCGGCAATTGCAGATGCAAGCGGTGAAGGGCATATCCAAGGAGGCCTCAGGAAGGTCAAGTTTGAAGGTTACAGGTGATACGCAGCGGTGGCTGTTTTATTCAAATTAGGGGCGAATTAATATCCAGCTCACATCAGGACACAAAAGCCAGTCTGTTTGTTCAAAGCGTACTCCTTGTTTGTGGCTGCGTCCGTTCTTCTCGTTTTCTGGGCGTTCCTGTATGTTTTACGTTACGTCTGTTCATTACTAATGCGCTTTTTATTAATCAAGGCAAAGAACAATGCCCGCATCCGTGGCTCTACCTTAGTGTTTGACTGTTTTACAGTAAGCTTTTTCTTTGCAGTTCCCAAGCCCTTCGTTTTTATGACGGCGAGAAGACCAACCAATTTGGCCTCTTTGCGTCTGCAGGCCGAAGAAAAATTCAAATCGACGCACCTCTTTAGGCGTGAGCTTCGTCACTGCCTTTTCTTTCATTTTTGCCTGTTTGTTTCTGCGTGTCCTGTGGAATGCCTATTTTATCCCCCCTAAGTCTTACATTGCTTCCGGGTCGTTATCGCTTTTGCTGTCCATTTGCTTTTGCCCCTAACTGTGTATTTGGCCTTGCATTAGTAGCAAGGCTCATGTTTTTGTCTTTCCGTAGGCATATTTGCTTCTGCTGACATACATTCATGTCTTGCATGGCAGTGCTTACATGTGTTCACACCTGAGCATGTATAGTTATGTGAAGATGCAAAATGGCGTTAATACGACTCCTCACAATAGTGAAGTTTTCATAAATATGAAAGTATTGTTGGTTGTGTGGAGGTTCATAAATGCCTTAATGTAAGTACTCACAGAATTTTTCATGTAGATAAGCACGCCACGCTTGTATGCTCGCCGTCGCAGCTAAAATTGTCTCTTCTCTTCCTTCTTTTCTCCACCGCCGGCCGCAACAATCCGTCAGACACACAACAGCGTCTCTAAGACGAGCTGAGAGGCTGCTTTTGCTACAGGTACACCCCTAAACAGAACACAGCAGAGCCCTGCGTGTGATGCCCTCTACCCTGATCGCTGAACTATAGACCGTGAAATACCAGACCCAAAGCGCCAGCTACTGGCCAAAGGCACAAACTTTGGAGCCAGAGCTGCAAGGCATTACGCAGAGAGTAAGACATGCCACAGTGAACCACGGATATCAAGGCTATGAGGCTCTCGCTATCAGACACAGCAGTTTAGGGCTTAGAGCGTGCAGGCGGAGAGGCGCGGAAAGGAAGAGGAATCACTTTGGTCTTTCGGAGGAAGCCGCTCTTTGGAGAATCTAAAAGACATGCAGAGAAACGAAGTTGATGATGAAAAAATGAAGCTAGTAGCAATTAGAAAAGCAAGAGCGAGGATATCAAGGTGCTGCTTTTGCTGGTGCTGCTTCTGAGCCACTGCTGCGGGTGCTCCTACTGCATCCCATGCACACAACCGCTACTACTGTTGCTCATGCTGTGGCCGCTGCTGTTCCTGCGAGTGCTTGGCTGCAGCTGCTGCTGTTGTGGCTGTTGTCCTTGCAGCCTCCTCGGTTGCTGCAGATGGCGTTACCAGTAGTGCCACTGATAGTGATTGTAGTTGGACACTCTCACTGCCGTAAATTTGCGTGGGTTCGGAAGTTTCGTCCCAAATGCATCTGCGTGAGTGTGCTGCGCTCAGGGATCGCGCTTTGCGTGCTGCTGTTCTTGCTCGGCAGAGAAAGGCTGCAGAGGCTCGTAAAGAGAGGCAAACAGAGACGGACTGGCTGTCAGCACGAAAAGAAGAGGAAGTGAACAAACTGCGGCAGCTCCCGGTCAAGCGACAGGCCACACGATCTCAACTCCAGGACAACACCAGAAAAGCACTCCTGGAGGTACGACCAAACAAAGCATGCGGTAGCATAAGCACTTGCATAAATGTATGCAGATTCAGGCACAAAGACAACATGGGATGCAAAAACAGAAGGAGACATAGAGACGAAAGGAGAGCGCAAAGTGCTTTCATTTATTGCAGCATCTGTGTGTGCGTTTGCTCTTGCAATAAGTACAAAGATGTGCCTATGGGTTACTCTGATGGATTTTGTGTGTTTCATTGGCCTCTCCACTATGGGAGCAGCTGCTCGACAGAAGAACAGTCCGCGCAGAGCAAGTACGGAGAGAAAGACAAGAATTGCGCAGGGCACTGCTCAAGTAAGCAAGCATTTGCTGCTGCGTCTGCTGCTGCTACTGCCTTTACTGCTGCGGCTGCGCGACCTTCTGGCGCTGCTGCTGTCGCAAAGCACTTGCTGTTTCTTTTGATTTTCTTGAAGCCGCTGGATCAGCTTCTGTTTTTGTAGCACCTTTGAACACTCAACCCATCAGCAGAGTCACTGTTTCTGCTGTGCTGCTATAGTAGCTGATGCTGCAGTCACCGCTTTTACTGTTATTTGCTGTTGCTGCAGGCAGTCTATGGATACGGCTGTGAAGAAGCGCATGGCTGCCTCCCAGCTACGGGAGTTGACTCGCGCGTCATCAATCATCGCTGAAATGAAAAGAGCAGCAAGACTACGGGTTCGCAAGGATCAAACCACTTCAGGCAACAGCAGCACCGACGCTGCGTTCCTTGGCTCAATGTCACTTTTGGAGACTCGCATCCGCGCCGTCATAATGAAGGTTAGAAAATAAAACAGGATGCTGCAAAAAGACACCTTTCTTCCCGTGCGGTCGTAATGAAGACAAGGAAAAAAAGAGAAGATGCTGCGGGCCGACAATTTAGTTCAACGTTCGTTTTTGTCTCGTGCTGCTGCAGCTGCTGTAGCTGCTGTAGTTGCTACAGCTGCTCCAGCTGCTACAGCTGTTGCTGCTCCAGCTGCTACAGCTGTTGCAGCAGCAGCTGTCGCTGTTGCCCTTGCTGCTGTTTCGCGTACAACGCCTCTGTGACAATCTTTGCACGCCTGTACTTGTATTACTGCTGCAGCGCAAAGCAGCGGAAGCCCTTGAGCAACGGCGCAACAAAATGATGGAAGAACGACAAAAAAAATGGGAAGCTCTGAGGAAGGCAGCAGAGAGAGTAGCGAAGTACGTATACAGCTCTAGGAAAAGAGATGAAGCGGCAAGCCAACTATTTCTGTGGCCGTCAAACAAACAAAACGTGGCGCTGCTGCCACAACAGCAGCGTTAGCAACACTAGCGACAACAGCAGCCGCAGGGAACTCCTGTTATGCTCTCAGTGCAAAGGCAGTGCTCCGCGAAGCAGCAGAGGCCAATAGGGAGAGGCGCGCAGAGGAGATGCGGAGGGCCAAAGAGGCAGAGAGATTAGCAGCAGGCGCTGCCGCACTCAGAGCTTCAAAATGGGTCAGCAACGCACAGCCCCGTAGTAGTAGCAACAGCATGAACAGTAGAAGCCCCAAAGTTTAGTACGCGTAACAGCATGCGCGGCAGGCACAGTAGCAGAGGCTGCAAAGGTAGATGCAGCAAGTGCGTGACTGATAGGAGCACTGAGAAAAGCAGGCGAATTCATAGCGGCAAGCGCAATAACAGCAACACGAGCACTATTAGCAGCAGGAGCAGCTGTTACAATGTGAGGCCAGGGCAACGGAAACAGCAGGAAACGTGGCGGTGGGCACAGCAGCAGCAGCAAAAGTAGCCACCGAGTTAAGCAAGAAACCTCATGACAGGCATGACTCGTTTTCTGTGAGGTTCGCCTTTGCAGCTGCTGGAGAAAAAAGCAGGGCAGATTAAAAGACAAGCTGCCCTCCAGCAGGTAGACAGATGAGTATTGGGGGTTTAAGGTTTACAACGAAGAATAAAGGGCCAGGAGTACAGTGTATAGTCGGTCATGTTTGCGCTTTTTTCCAGACACGCCCTGAACTGTTGCGAATGTTCACTTCAACAGTAAACGAGAAAAGACTTGTGGTGTGGGGTCTAGGGTCGACGATTAAGAGCTCGTTTTGTGCTGTTTGTTTCTCGGCCAGGAACAAATAGAGAGACAGATAAGTTACGAGTACACACAGGGCACCAAGCGACTGGCAGAGCAAGCAGGTGAGGGCGGCATTCAGTGGTATGAACTAGCAGCTTTCCTATTTACTACTGCAGTGTCCTACACCATTAATTCTAGCATCGGCATGGGTTTATTTTAACTCAACCTTTCTGCAGTGGCGCGCTGTTGATGCACTGCAGTGAGGCAGCAACTGGTCAAAGGCATGGAGAGAGCGGCATTGGCAAGACAGCAACAGAGACTCGCAGAGGAAGTCAGCAGGGCCACTGGTCACCACTGCACAGACAGAATTACATACAGATAGACACGAACAGATAGCAGTAACAGTACTGGCAGATCCAAGGCTAGGCAGTGGGACAAAGTGATAAGGAGGCGTACAGTTACCTAGACAGGCAGACGAATAGAGTAGGAGGGAGAAAAAAAGAACATTATAAGGAGGAAGTGACTAAAGGCAAAAGGAAAAGCAAGATGAAGCACAGCAGAGATGCCAACAGCAAATAAGAAAGGCACGTAGGCGGAGAGGCTCACACCAGAACAGCCGCGCTTGTGAAGAGGCTAAAGCAGTGAGAGACAATCGAAACATAGGCGGAGATACTGAAACAAAGGGAAGGAAATAAACACTGTTATTGGGTGCTGCAGGCAGCGCTGCTGCGGGTTAATAAGAGAGAAAAAAGTCAGCGCGACGCCGCGAAGGCTGCAGAATGCTCTGCCAGGTTTGAACGCCGTCGGGCACAAGACGAAATAGTAGAGGCAGCCAGGGTCGCCATGCAAACTTTTTTGGTAACTAAAGAACAAGTTGCCCCATGGCACATCGTTAAGGCCAAAGACTTTAATACTTTGGATGTAGCGTCTGCAACTGAGTGTTCAAGTTCTGTGCTGTAGAAATGGTACTTGGGCTTAGGTTACACAGTCCACAATTTTAGACTAAGGCGTTTGACCCAAGGTCTCGTCTTGAACGGCCAGGCCTTGAGTATGTTCGATTGTGTGCGAGCTTTAATTGTAGCCCTGGATCACCCGAGTTGATTTTCACGGCTTAGAAATAAGGGTTTATTGTCTGAAGCTGAAGGGTTGGAAAGTGGGGATTAGATTATTTTTTCAGGACAAAGAAGCACGGCGTAAGAGAGAGGCAGCTGCGGCCATACGTCAACACGAGCGGGAACGGGCTGCACTGCTGCGCCTTCCTGACGCTAAGCCCGTGTGCTCGACGAAGTGAAGAGTTTAGCATTCGGAGTTTAGGGCTTAGCATCTCTGGTAGATTTTGCCCATTTTCTCTGTCGACATAAACATGATAATCTAACGCTGTAAGACTTCGCACTCAATTGCGAGGAACAATGATCAAGTATGGGCTTCCAGGAAAAACGAAACTCTGCATTTTCTCAAAGGTGTAGGTAGCCAGACTTTAGCTGCAAGGACTCAGAGGCCTTCACAGGGGGACAGCTGCACGATACGAAGACCAAACACTGCGATTTGATGTCTACAACTCGTAGAACCGAGTTAACAAAATGAACATATTCAGTCCGCTCTGCAAGGGCTTCGAGCCGTTGAGAAGATGGACGACGAGGGTATCGATCCCTCTACCTCTCGCATGCTAAGCGAGCGCTCTACCATTTGAGCTAGACGCCCTCGGCAAGGTCACTCTTCCCAGAGATATTAGCACAAAACGCGTCCTTAGCAGGCCACGGCAAAAGCATAAGATGGCTTACCTGCTAGCTGCGATTCACAGCAAGTGGATGCGGCTAAAGGAAACATTCTGCTTGGCGTGTAAAAACAGTATATAAGGAAGCGAAAGTAACAAGTGCATTAAGCTTGGCGTGAAAAAGGGGATCGATGGAAGATTGAAGTGGACGACGAGGGTATTGATCCCTCTACCTCTCCCATGCTAAGCGAGCGGTCCACCATGTGAGCTAGACGCCCTCAACGAGGTCACTCCTCCCCAAAACTCTAGCGTGCAGAGTGCTGCCTTGGCAGCCGCCACGGCTACCATATACGAAGGCCTACGAAGTGTATTCAGTGTGGCGTGAAAACAAGGATCGCTGGAACTGTAAAGTGGACGACAAGGGTATCGATCCCTCTACCTCTCGCATGCTAAGCGAGCGCTCTACCATTTGAGCTAGACGCCCTCGACAAGGTCACTCCTCCCAAAAGCTTCAGCACGCAAAATGTAGCTTTGGTGGGCGCTATGGCGACAGCAGACAAAGAAATGGCTTCTACGGATGCGGCTCAAGGAAACAAAGACAATTAGTTTGAAGCGAAAATATTGAAGCTTCAAGCATAAGTAGCGCCTAGAGGCCATGAAAAGTGGACGACGAGGGTATCGATCCCTCTACCTCTCGCATGCTAAGCGAGCGCTCTACCATTTGAGCTAGACGCCCCCGACGAGGTCACTCCTCACACACATAAATACACAATTGCACATCAATGATCCATATACTTTTTTATTACCCCATGACGTAGTTACTTTGATCAGTCTAAATATCCGGATTTTTTCGTGTATGTTCACCTTGTTGATGTTGTGCATATATACGCGAATCTACTTGTTTAACTGCACCTACGCCTACTTTACTGCTCGCAGATTCACATGGATATTTGACGGCCGAAAGCGGCTTAAGCTACCCATCGTACATTTTCGTGTCTGCCTGTATTCACGGTCTAGCTTCCTCTGGCACCTACGTTCTTTACGCATTAGTGCTTTGAGCTTGCCAAGCCATAGTGCCATATTACAGCGTTTGCCGCCTATTGTCTTTTAGCTGCGCAGCTATTGCTCGTCAAACGTATGCCTGTAAAGATATCTAGTTATGTCTGCTTTACTTCCTTTTGAGCCGTCCTGCCAACTCCTACAAAGGGTAGTCACTGCAGCAATGCCCTTCTCGGGGAACTCTCCCCGCCAGTACTTTTCGTGAAAACCGACGTTCCGACATCCAACCTTGGGTAGGCCGTTTTAAACATGGCTAACAGCTACACTGCATGCAGGGGCTGGACATGATGTCTTTCCGGCCGGCCCCTGTATGCAGTGTAACAGTCACAATACCGTGCTTCTGAGCTGGAACTGAAGAGAGCTAAACACAGCAGCTCAATCATGCTGACAAAGGACCAGCATTTTCATATGGAAATAAACGATAAGTAGCCAGAAACAAAGACGAACGTAAAGAGGGTCACTTTTGCTAGAAAATGAACCTAGATACACCTTGAACGGTAGCGGCCACATTGCATTTGCCGTGCTGAAGTTTCATCGTTTTCACACAAAGAATATGCGATAACAAGGAGAAAAGGGGCCTGACAGAATCTTTTTGTTAGAGGGCCATCAGGTACTACTGCATGCAAAATATACTCTGTCATTTTCTGCTCCTGCCGTTTGCACTGAATTGATCCATAGCGGGTATCTTTGGACACTTTTTGTTTTCTGTAGAGTAAAATATCTGTGTTACTGCATCTAGTGTGCGCTTAACTGCCTGCTGTCAAGTCCTTCTGCAACTGTATGCATCGGCGAGTATGTTGTTTCGAAAAAAGGTGACCCACAGAAGGGCGTCTAGCTCAAATGGTAGAGCGCTCGCTTAGCATGCGAGAGGTAGAGGGATCGATACCCTCGTCGTCCACTCCTGGTGTTGAACATGTTTCATTTATGCACAAAACTGTTTGCAGAGGAAGCACAGGACAGATCTGATAGCTGATGCATTGTGAGCGACCCCCTGCGCTGCTGATGCAGCCCCGTCGCTTCTTTCAAAGACTTTCTTATTGTCATTACTTCTACAAATTGTCTTTCTTTCGCTAGTGCTGCTGCCACTCATTTCCCACAAAAGACTGCGGCTCTCTTACAAGTGCATCGAGGGCACTCGATGCACTTGTAGGAGAGCCGCAGTCTGTAGCGACGACGGCGTGGTTTCACTACCTGCAAACGAGGCCACCAGCCCTCCACCTCTCGACTGCTTAGCGGGCGCTCCAGCATTTGGGCAAAATACCATACCTGAATGATTTGTTTTTATATGTAAATGCGACAAGACAAACTGTCTTGCATAAACTATTCGAGTATGTGCGGGCAATTCTACTGGTGAAAACAAGTAGCCCGTCTCAGTGTCCTACGGAACTGTATATGGCCATAATTGCCCGCAACTCTATGTGTGTGTTGTGACTGTCCCAAGCCAAAGCACTACAAAGTGACCACCCTTAAATGTAGAAACACACCAACACTCACCCCGAGGCCTTCACTCTTCACTGTAATGTAAATTGCCCGAAATTCTCTAGGTTATCTACCGTTTAAAGCTGGTTTGTTTTATCCTGAGCTTATATGTCAAATGTTGTTATAGTTATCGCACTGTGGCTAGCAAGGAGGGGAGCCGAGTGGGGGCGTCTAGCTCAAATGGTAGAGCGCTCGCTTAGCATGCGAGAGGTAGAGGGATCGATACCCTCGTCGTCCATACTTCTAAAGCGCATCGATTGCTTTTCCTGAACTTTTCGCCTGTAAAAAATACAAATATAAAACAGTTGTCCTTTAAAAATTTCAGCTTCTGCATTTTCTGAGAGTGGAATGGGCAGTAGTCCATTATGCCAACCTCTGGGGCCTCTGTCCAGCCACTGCATGCGTCAAAGTCTGGAGTTGGTAGGCTTTTCTCTCGGCAGAACGGCAAACACAACCACGGTTTCCGTTTAGTTACAAATTAAATTAAGGAACAAAAGGTGAATTTTTTCTTATTTCACTCACATCCCCCTTTTTTGCTGCGGCGGCGCCAGCTGCAGCCCACGTTTGCCCCTGAGGAGAATACTTGCGGCTAACCGGCATTTCTGTCTTGCCTGTATCGATATATCTCGTCAGTGGGGCTGCGAGTCCGTGACCTGTGAAGCCAGACCGGTCCCAGGAGGGGCTCATTCCCGCCGCTGCTACCGTTGCTGCCATAGCTGCGGGTTGCTACGAAGCGTGTCTTTGAAAAGAGCACCGAAGATGGCGTTTGCTGGGGCCTCGCGGGCCTTCTGCAGCTGTGCAGGAAGGAGCCTCTTGAGGTGGTCAGTTAGCCACAGAGAAGTCGCATTGTTTGTTTCTTGCCTGCCGCTTCCTATCAAGGCTGTACAGGTGTTTCCCATCAGCCACAGATCTAAATGTCCGCGCGAAGATGGGCGCAATGGTCTGCTGCTTTCGTAGTGTACAGACGGCTGCATGCGCTGCAGATTATCCGCGCTGCTGAGTGCCATCTTTGGGGCTTGTTAAGTGGGGATGTGCGCAGGTCAGCAGTGGACCTCAGCCTGTCAAGAACTCGTTTCCTCTCGAAGGTGCGTTTCTTCTGTTCTCTCATTTGTGCTGCTGCTGCTCCCTTGCGTTCTGCCTTTCTGTCAGTGTGTGTGTCTTCGTGCCAGGTCTTTGTCGCCGTAAGCCTCTGCCTGTCCCCGCTTCCTTTGCCTGCCTGTGTCGCACTTATCTTCACTTCTGTCTTTACCTCTTTTTCTTCTTGTGCTTCCTTTGTTGCATGTGCTGCCGCCGCTCCTTTGGCAGCCTCTCTTCACCGTTTGTGGATGGCCAGTGTGTGAATTCATCCATCTGCTCCCCTCCTGATCAATGCACTTATTTTCCCACCTTTGAAGTTCATTTGCGTTTCTTGCAGGGCCCTGCAGCCTGCTCGTTGCTGCCTTCCAGGGCAGCCGCAGCAGCATGCTTCAGCAGCAGCTCCAGGGCCCCCTTGGGAGGCTCGCCTGGGGGCCCCCTTCAGGGGGCCCCCCAGGGGCCTCGCGGACTCCAAGGGGGACTGCCCGGCCACAGCGAAGGAGAGCCTGTTCTCTCACTTGCTGCTCCGCCGAGGCGCACTCGTCCGGGTCTGTTTCCATCTGTGTTCGCTATAGAGTTTCTGGCGCCTTTGAAAATGGTCAATTTTGCCATTCAGTATCTTTTGTCTTTCCGCTTTTACTTCATATTCATGGCCCGCACCACTTTCCAGGTGAGGGCTCAGACCGAGGCAGCCAGCCCCCAGAGTCCGCGCCACAGGCTTTCAGTCACTGCAGAAATGGGGCAGAGGCTTCTGCATGCAGAGGCTTATGAGGGGGCACAAGAGTTCAGCGAGGCTAGGCACTTTTGCCCAGGGGGAGGTTTGAGGGTTTAAGACCCAGGGGTTCTGTTTGTTTGCATGTGTAGGCTGTGCGCCCTTTGCTGGCGTTTAGCGTGTTTGGCGAGGTGATGAAGATGGTCTTGGCCACGATGAGCTCCAGTTTGTTTTCTTTCCTCTTTTCGTTCGTGCTCGCCTTTGAGGTCCTCTACTTCTTTCTGCAGTGCTACATCAGCTACACTTTCCTTACCATGTTCTTCACCGTCATGTTTTAGTTGCTTTCATGGAAACCCTAAGCTGCGGGCATTGAAGCGTGCGCAGGCGCGTGCGTGCATAGCTGCATGCATTCGTGATGGTACGGGAACCCCCTGGGGGCTTCTTTGGGAGGCCACAGGGGCGGTTTTTGGAGGGACGTGAACGGCCGCTGTTGCAGCAGATGCAGCAGCAGCTGCTGCTGCAGAGACTTGCAGGCAGCTGCATTCACTGTTTTCACTCTACTGCTTTTTCGTTGCTCTGCTGGTCCGTAGCCCTCCAGCCAAAGTGAGAACTAAAAGACACCGAAGTTTTTAGAACGTAGCGTTTGAGGTCCAGGGCTTTACAATAGCCAACACACAAGGTAGCTAAATATACGTAATTATCTTTGCTGCACACCAGAGACATGAGGAACAAGGGGTTCCTGCTGCAGCAAGCTGCTCCACATTCGTAGGTGTGAACCTGGGCTCTAGTTGGCTGTTCAACACGCAGGTGCTGCTGCCGCCGCAGCTCCCGCTGCGGCTACTTTGCTGGTCCGCTGTTGCTGCTGCACTCGCCCTGCCCAACTCTAGCTCATTACTTCAGAGCCCCCAGCTGCCTGCTTGCAGCTGCTGGGAGCGCCTCAGCTCACTGGGGCTACTGCGCGAAGCTGCTGCAGGAGGGTTGGTCACCTGCTGCTGGTACTGTTGTAGCGGAACTTCCGCCACTGTCTGGGGTTGGCCCCCCAAAGTGTGCATATGTAGGCTTTGCACGGGAGTGCTTGGGACTAGCGTGAACGCCTCAGTGGCTCCTTGCTCGTTGCTGCTGCTGCCGCCGCATAATGCCGCTGCTTCCCATTGCTACTTCCTGGCACTATTTTCTGGTGCGCTCAGCCGCTAGTGCTCACGATGCTGCCAACTAGTAGATCGTGTACAAACGTTTGAACACAGCCTTGTGACGAAAGAGTAACTTTAATGCTACGGCAAACAGGAGGAAGTAGAAACGGTGACCCAGCAATTGCTGCTATGGGTGCTGCTGCTGGTGGCCCCGTCACTGCCAGGTACGTGCCAGCTCGCCCTACCGGTCTCTCTCTGGCCGCCTCACTGCAGCAGCAGCCTACGCAGGCAGCGGCAGCAGACTGTGCATTCTTAATATGTGCCACAGGGGAACACCGGTAGAAGGCTTATTTTACGAAGAACAAAGAGAAGCCCAAACCTGATGTAAGAGGGCGGGGCCTCCGCGTCAAGCTCTGTAACGCCCTAGAGGCGACCTCTGATGTTTGAATGCGAGGCGCCTTTAAGGGAGCCCAAACTTCGGTGGGCATACATGTGTAGACGGGAGCCTACCCCTGAACCAGTGTACGTCCCTTTTGGGGGCCTCAGGAGTAATAGTACGAACCACCAAGACAGTTCTCACGCAGGTCAATAAGGTCTTCGCATACGGTGAGCCTTATAAGGGCTACTATGGGCCCTTCTGTAGGACCTCAGATTAGCTGGTCGCGGGACCATTGACATGGTCCTTATGCTACCCTCTTCATAAATACAGAAGAACCTCAAGGCACGTCCCTGTGGGCGTCTCAGTCTGTCTTAAAGGCTCTCAAGACAGATTTCTGGAGGCACCGAAGACGCTCACTGGGGGCATCCGTTGCCCCCGATCGCGCTGATGTGTGAATGCATGTTGCAAGTGCTCAGAGCAGGCGCCTGCGCAGCCCCCCTGCTAAGTTTGCTAGTTCAGGGGGCCTTAATGCCATCTATATATCTCCCTGGGGTAAGGAAAGGATGCTCGAGCAGCTGTGCCGCTGTCCATCTTTTGCAAGGATCAATCTGGAGCATTTTTGAGACGAAGTCGACAAACAGGTCATCGCTGCAGCGCAGGCGCTGGCGGAGGCTGGTGCGTTTGGGGATGAAGAAACGAATGACGCGGCTGTTGTTGCTGCTGCCGCTGCCGCTGGTGCCGCTGGGATGCCTTGGGCTGCCGCCTTGCCTGGATCGCAGGTGGTCCTGCACAAGGTTCAGCAGCGTGTCTTCTGGGGGCCTCATGTCCAGGCTGACGGAGGGTTGCTGCTGCATGCTGTTGCTCTGCTGCTTAAATTCCTGCGCATTTGAAATATGATCTATGAAGGAGTACAGGAAACCCTCAGGGTCCAGCAGTTGGTGCTTCACGGGGCTGCTACGGGCCATGTAGCTGGGGAGGGGCCCCAAGAGGCCCACCATCTTGGCCAGCAGAGAAGGGACAGTATAGCAGCCCAGCAGCATGTCTCCAGTCCAGAGTTCGTACACTATGCACCCCAGACTCCATATGTCTATTTGTTGACAGTAAGGCAACTCCAAAAGCACCTCGGGAGCACGGTAGGAGCGCGACTGCGTGTACACAACGAGCTCATCACTGGTGAAACAGCAATTGCCGAAGTCTATCACCTTCACCCTAAAGAGGTCCAACAGGTCGGACTCGAATCCGCTGCTGCCGCCGCTGTTGCTGTGCGCGTTGGTCATTGTTGCTTGCGGCTGTGGCTGTCTTTGGAGCTGCTGCTTGCGCTTCTGCGCCTTCGCCAGCGGCCCCGTGAATACCGCCAGGATATTCTCCGGCTTGAGGTCTCCGTGTATGATGTGCAGCTGGTGTATGAACTTGAGGGCCAGCAGCACATCTCTCGCGGCAATTTGGATGCGGCCCAAGGACCAAAAGGAGGGCTCCCTGTGCCTTTTCAAAACCGTGCTGAAGGTGTACAGATCCTCATCTAGCAACTCCGTCACCAACACTACGTGGCCGCTCACGTACATGTAGTCCAGAAGTCTCAGGAAACGGTACTCGTCGGGGTCCCCATTAGCCAGAAGCAAGCGCAAGACAGACGCCTCGTCAAGCGATTGATCCAGAAACTCCTTTTCGTTCTTCATCACCTGCAGCAGCAGCAGCAACAGCCGCAGAGGTAGCAGGGCTGATGGCAGGGGCCCCAACAGCAAGCGCAGGGGTTCCAGATACAGCGGCTGCACCGGAAACACTGGAAGAAGCAAAATGTAGGCAGCACCAGCTCGCAGCTGATGAACTCTCCGTGGCCGCTGCTGCTGTTGGCGCTGTTGCCGATACAGCGTAGTCGTTCTGCAGCTGCAAGAGGCTGCCTGCTGCTGCAGCAGCAGCAGCAGATCTGAATCAAAGTAAAGGCGAAAAAGGCAGTTGCTGCTTCTCACCTTAAGGCAAACTCGTTGCCCTGTACATTCGTCTATGCCCTGAAGACAGCGCGAGAACGCGGCCGCTCCCACCTGCAAGAAACAGCGCCACAGCCGGATCTTTAAGCTCAGAAACCCCTATGTGAAGTTTAGGAGCTTCACACAGCTAGAAAAGCAGCAACAGGTTTCAATATTTGGAGCAGCCGCACCAGCGGGAGCAGCCACATCAGCAACAGCAACAACAGCAGCAACAGAAGCAGCGAGAACTCCAGCAGAAGCCAAGGCTGTAGCGGCCGTACCTCATGCTGCACCCTGTATCTGCCAGCTAAAAGGGCCCCTGAGGGCAGGACCATTTCCTTGTGGGGATCGGCTCCCGTGCTGTTTCTTTTGAAAATAACCTTCAAGCTAAAGCAGTCATACACCACCGACTCGTCTGCAGCAGAAGCCCCCGGAGGGGTCCCCAAGCCTCTGCGAAGGCACCTCACGCGGCACTGCCTGGGGTACGCAGGGTCTGGGGAAGGAGGATAGCAGGCAAGAGAGAGTGCTGCTGCAGCACGAGCCTGCTGCCGCTGCTGGAAACGCTGTTTGTCTCCGTCGCAGTACGTTTCCTCCCACGTCCTCGCTGCGATGTAGGCCTCCTGCTGCTGCCGCTCAAGCTGCTGCTGCTGCTGCTGAACATCTGCGAGCTTCCCTGCCTCTGCTGCAGCCGCACTCTGCTCTTGCATTCCGCAGCCAGCCAGCTCATCCTCAGATGACACCGCAGGACACTCTTCTGGGGATTTTGCTGCTCCTGGCGCTGTTGCAGCAGCTGCTTTTGCTGCAGGCTGGCTGCTGCAGCTGCTCGGCTGGGCGTCCACGCCATCTCCTAGGCCGAAAATCCTTCCGAACTCTGCTGGAGCTTGTTTCTGCTGCTGCTGCTCTTCCTGCAGCTGGAGTTGCTCTGTGGGCTTCGTCCGTGGCTGCTCTTGCAGCTTCACAGTGTCTGGCTTTTCTGCTGCTGAATCTGCAGGCGGCGCTCCGAAAGTAGGGGGGCCCCCGAATGCCGGTGACGAGGGACGGCTTGTGGCTCTGCTGCCGCGACCGCTGCTGTTGCTGCCGCAACTAGCTTCATCCCCAAGTCTGAACAAGCTATGTTTGTTTGCTGCAGCAGTAGCTGCAGGAGAAAGACTAGCAGCACGAGTTACTGAAGATGGACTCAGCGTTGGCTGCTGCTGCCGCGCCTCCTGCTGCGGCTGTTGCTGTTGCTGCGGTAGTTGACCCTTTTCAGTAGCAGCAGCAGCTGCTGCTGCCGCTGCTGCAGCAGCCATCTCCAGTCTGGCCCCCACAACATCCACTGCAGGCTCCACCCCAAGTGCGAACAAAGGATGCATACCCTCTGAGTGGGGGCCCCCCCACGAGGGGCCCCCCAGCGGCGCCCCACAGAAAGCTGCAAGGAATTCCGCCTGTGTCATATCTACTGGGGTGTAGCCTGGATCTGTGTCTTCCGTGTATTCATCGTTAGCATCATATTCAGGCAAGTAGGCCCCCTCAAGCCACGCCTGGTACTGTCTATTCCCTGCTGCTGCTGCTGCTTCCGCTGCTGCTGCTGCTGCTGCTACTGCGCCCGACGGCGTGCAGCAGCGCGGATTGCCCCGAAACTTGGGAATGAAGCGCGCTGAGGAGGGACCCTGGGCCTGGCCGCAGAGCCTAACAGCATCAGCAGCACGCAGGCAGCCACCCTCAAATGACAGCAGGTGGGGGGTTGACACTGCTGCTGCTGCTGCTGCTGCTGCC